CACTCTTTCTCAGGGTGAAGCGATGCAGAATTGATTGTTGCAGGCGCTTCAAATGATTTAATCTGCTCCAGGCTGGGGAGAGGGAAAAAGACAGGCATTAGACAAGTTCCAAAAACTGAATTCTACAGAACAAAACACACAAAAAAGGGGGAGGGGTGAAGAACACACACACACACAAACACACACAAAGGTGGAATTTTGTTCAGAATAATTTCACCTACATTCCCTTGTCAAGTTGGCAGTGTCCACTAATTCAGCTTATTTGTTTGACAGAGGAATTTTTCAACAAAGACAAGATCACAATACAGAAATGAGTGAACGCTTAAGAAAATCAATTAACTTCACCAAAGTGACAGAGTTTTTAGAATTATACATTGTGTTTTAGGATACCTAAGGGCTGTAGACTGAAACCTTACTTCAGCCACTTAGGAATGCTCACAAAAATGTTACTAAAGTTTTCCAGCCTACAAGATCGACTGTACACTGACCTGAATCAGACTCAAGGGAATTTTTTGCCAGGAAGCAAAACTAAGGGATTCCACAAATCTGTATCGCGCCTGATGTGAGTCTGTTCAGTTTGTACGGCAAACAACTATCAGCAGTGACAATTACAGCATCAAATATATTTTTGCGTTAATGTATACCCTTCCTTTGAAGCCAACCTGGAAGGACAAGCGCGATCTAACACAGCAGCACAAAGAGCCCCTTTCTCATCAGCCTTGGCTAAGCCAAGTCAGGCCTGCTTAAGGGTTCTCTAAAAACCAGGCTTACGAAAACCTTACGTTTCTGCACTGTGAAAGGCGATGGTCCTTCCGTAGGTGATCACCAAGATCTCCCCTTCCGGGATGTACTCCATGCTGCTCACAGACATGGCCACGTTGATGGCCTTCACTTCAGTATATGTACTTCGGTCCCAGAGTCTGTAATGGAAAGACGCGGAGAAAAAAAGTGGCTGGGTGGCGAGGATTCCCACAGTCCTCTGGGTCAAAGGTTAACACCTACTCGGCTGTCACCTCCCTTCAGACGCTGGACAGTCAAGAGCACGGCCACATCGTCAGAAGGCGCCACACACACACACACACACAACAGCGCAACACGTGCCTCCAGAGTCACTAAGTGAGTAGCACTGGCTTAAATTTACTGGAAGCCAGCTTAAGCGTCTGATAAAGAGCGGTATAAAAATGTGAACAATCTGGTAGGCAGCAAGAACAGCGGTTCCATGAAGATTCTGGCACTATGGGAAAGCGCCTCAGGCATCTGTGCACCACCACCACCACCACTCCTGCTCCCCGACAGTTCTTTGGTGGGGCAAGTCATTGTCGGCCACTTCATCTAAACTTGAGAACTAAGGCTTCCAATTACCCTCCAAACAGGAATCGGGAAGGGTGGTCAAACCACAGTTTCACAATTCTAGCTGGGCACAACGTCAACCAACCGCGGTTTTCAGGGTTGCACAAAACAGCAAACTTTGGTTTGCTGATAAGCAGAAAAGGCATTGGGAGGGTTTGAGTGGAGGGGGCCACGAGCCCTGCAGCCCACTCACCGAATACCAGATGGAAGCTAGACGTGACATCTGAGCCACATTGAGGCCTTGCCATGCAAAATAATTCAGTGCACATGTCGGCAGCATTACGTCCACTGCCACCGGAACACGTGAAGCTGTCTTATAGCGAATCAGAACAGGGGTCCATCAAAGTCAGTAGTGTCTACTCAGATTGGCAGTGACTCTCCAGGGCCTCAGGCAGAGGTCTTCTACTTCATCTGTGACTTGATCCTTAACTGGAGATGCCGGGGATTGAACCTGGGACCGTCTGCATACCAAGCAGGTGCCATAGCCCAATTCTGATCTAAAGCAGAATTAAGTTAACTAGGGGAAGGGGGTGGGGGACATATCCTAAGAAAGCCTGTGATTCTCACCTGACAGTTTTATCATCAGCTGAAAGGATCTGGCTGTCGTCACTACTCCACAGAGCCTTCTTAATACCAGACGTGTGGCCACTCACCACTTCAGGGTCTGAAAATCAGAGCAAATACCTTAAAGAGAGGAAAAAACTCTACTCTCCCCCACATTTCACCATGATTTCCCCCTAAACATAACCAGTAACCCTAAGTAGAGCAGCAAAAAAGTTACTAAAATAATCCAACTTTATGACTATGCAAACTTTGATGTTTGACAGTTCTACTGCAACTTTAAATGTTTTCCACAGCACGATGCTAACATCTTCACTGAAGTTCGTCCATCCCTACTTTTTGATTAACAGATTTTTATTCCACCCTTGTTTCAAGAACTTCCGCTTGCCATACGTGGCCACCTCACCCCCATTTTATCCCTACAACTAGAAGAAGAAAAAGAGATTGGATTTATACCCTGCCCTTCACTACCCAAAGGTAGAGCGGCTTACAAACTCCTTTCCCTCCCCCTCCCCACAACAGACACCCTGTGAGGTAGGTGGGGCTGAGAGAGCTCTGACAGAAACTGCTCTTTTTCAAGAACAGCTCTTATCAGAACTACGGCTTGCCCAAGGTCATCCAGCCAGGTGCAAGTGGAGAACCAAACCCGGTTCTCCCAGATTAGAGTCCGCGCACTTAACCACTACACCAAACTGGCTCTCTACTCTGTGGGGTATGGTAGGCTGATCTTAGGTCGCCCAGGGAGCTTCGTGACATAGTTGGGATTGGAACCCAAGCCTCCCCACAGGCACAGTCTGATCCTTCAACCACCACACCACATTGGCTGCCAGGCTAGATTTGAGTCCAGGAGCACCTTAGAGACCAACAGGATCTTCAAGGTGCATAAGCGTTGGAGCGTCAAAGCTCCCTTTGTCAGGTATCTTTGGATAAGGATGAGCACAAACTGGCTCATGAGCCAAAATTCGGGCCAGACCTGGGCCAATTCAGGGCTCAGGAACCAATGTTCAGGGAAGATGTGCTCCCTGAACATTTCCTGAACTTTGGCCGGTTCAGGTGTCTCTCTGCTGGCGCAGGTGTCTCAGGATCCCTCGCACAGCCCGTTTAAAGGGGCTGCGCAAGGGAGCCCGAGACAGCTGGGCCAGCAGAAAGGGCAGGGTGAAATCCCCCCTGGGAGGCCCTCCACCCCCATATTTAACCCTCTGGTTTTGCTCCCTCCCCCTCGATGCGGCAGGGAGCAAAACTGAGGCGTTAAAGGGCAGCCAGCTGTTTAAACCTAACAACTGAGCAGCTCGTCTGTTAGGTTTAAATGGCTGCCAGCCATTTAACCCTTTGGTTTTGCTCCCCACTGCTTTGAGGGGGGGGGAGCAAATCCAGAGGGTTAACTGAAGCCCCTTCCTGGGCAATCCCCCCCTTTCCTCCTGGCCAGGGGAGGGGAAGACCCTTCCCAAGTAATCCCCCCCTCCTCCTGGCGAGCCACACTCAGGAAGACCCTTCCCGGGCGATCCCCCCCCCCTTCTCTCTCGGCTGCAGTGAGCTGTGGCCGAGAGAAAGGGGGAAGGGAAGCCCCTTCTTGGGAGAAAAGGGGAACCAAGCTTGCAGGACTAATTCGGTCTGTGTGAGGCTGGTTCAGTTCAATGTTCAGTCTGTGGGCTGCCACAGACCCCGAACCGAACTGCCCTTTTCCAGTCCATGCCCGTCCCAATTTCTGGTATCTGATACTCGGTATCTGACGAAGGGAGCTTTGACTCTCCAAAGCTTATGCCCTGCAAATCTTTTCAGTCTCTCAGGTGCTGCTGGACTCGAATCTAGCTCTTCTACTGCAGGCCAACATGGCTATCCTCTCAAACTCACTGCCAAGCATGACCTCTGGTGAAGAGATCACACCTACAATAAAAGAAACCCCTCACATTCATCCTCAGATCATAAGTATGAGCTCACTGTTACAAATCTGTAGCTTGCCTCAAAGTCACACAGTCTATTCCAGTGAATTCAGTCCTGCCAAAATTCAGGAATCCGTTAAATTATTGAGATTAGTTCAATCCCCCCTCCCAACCCTGCTGTAAATTTAACTGGATAACCTTAGGTCTGTCACTCAGCCTGGCCTACTGCACAGGGTTGTTGTGTGGATAAAATAAGAGGGGACTGGGCAGGAATCATGAACTTGTTGGAGGATTGGTGGAATAAGCATTTAACAGACAATAATTAAGTACTCTCAAGTTGTAACCAACTTATGGCGACCCCCCTCGTGGCGTTTTCAAGGCAAGAGATTGAGCAGAGGTGGTTTCCCACTGCCTCCCCCTGCACAGCAACCCTGATCTTCTTTGGCGGCCTCCCATCCAAGGACTAATGTTTTCTGGGGTAGTGATGCTCTATATTCTTGGTACTTGGGGGGGGGGGCATCAGGGGGAGGGCTTCTGGAGTTCTGGCCCCGCTGGTGGACCTCCTGATGGCACCTGGGTTCTGGCCCCTGTGTGACACAGAGTGTTGGACTGGACGGGCCATTGGCCTGACCCAACATGGCTTCTCTTATGTTCTTACTAACCGTGGCTGACCATGCTTAGCTTCCAAGCTCAGACATGCTTGAGCTAGTTTAGGCTATTCAGACTGCTACTTCTAATAAATACAGATACACACACAAACACAACTTTTGATGAGTAGCAGCTCCAACAATTAAAGGAACGGGAAAACTCACCCGCCTCTGGCTTGTTTAAGTCATAGATACGCAACAGCTTGTCTTGCCCCCCTGTCAACAGGTAATTGCTGTCCTAGAACACAAAATGAAAACTGTCAGATCCATCCATTAGGAACACAAGAACATGTCCTATTAAAGCAGGGGCGGCCAAACTCGCTTAATGTAAGAGCCACATAGAATAAATGTCAGATTTTGCGAGCCAAAAGTCATGAACAAATATTACACTTTTTACTAGGAAATATGCAAATTGCATTTTATTAACATTAAATGAGACTGCCAAAAATAACAACAAAAGGGGTAAAAGCAGATATTGATAATTGTAACTATTTGTCCAATGATATTTGTTTGCCAATGCTATTTAGCTTCCCCAGCCGCCCTGCCGGGAGCCACACAAGATGTGTGAAAGAGCCGCATGGGGCTCCTGAGCCACAGTCTGGCCACCCCTGTATTAAAGCCACCACACTATTTTATAATCCTATTTGTTGTGCTCAGAAAAGGCTAGTGTTTAGTTTTTTAACATGACACTGGATGCTCTCCATATGAAGCTTTAGCAAAGCACAAGGAAACACAGGCGGACTCTGAAGTCTGGAAAGAAAGAGATTTCTGCCGTACCTGAGTGAAGTCCACAGATTTGACAATGTGCTTGTGAGCCAAAGTGAGCAGCTCGTCTCCTGAAATGGCATCCCACAATTTGCTGAAACACAAGAACGTTTTATTTAAAACATGGAAGGACCCAAAGCTAAAGACATCCTACTTTAAAGCAGGGTCCGGGATAGGCTGCAACCAGGGTTCCCCCTAAGCTGAGTTAGTGTGCGCCAGCTCACAGTTTTTTAGCCTCCGGCTCACACATTTTTGTCTTCGCTCAGGAAGGAGGGCTCCAGAGCAAACTAATTTATGCAGTAGCCAAATCACCTGCTCACAACTTTAATGCCAGTCGCTCACCAAGTAGAATTTTTGCTCACAGGACTCCATATCTTAGAGGGAACATTGGCTGCAACCCCATTTACACAGAGTTGAGCTTCACTTCAGTTCTAAAGAACCCGAGAGACCAAAACAGGTCAACATCCAGATGTATTAAAGCATCGGAGAATGGTAGGATGCAGAAACAGGTGGAAGGCTTGTGTGTCAACTACAGAAGGCTCACTTACGCTGTGAAATCTGCCGCTGCGGTAGCTGCTTTCGTGGCGTCCTGATTCAAAGTGGCGCCCCAGACGGCGCCTTTGTGTCCGAGAAACGTCCCGATCCAGTCTCCTGTGTCTCCCTGGCGGAGCATGGGCTTTCCGTCTGCAGAAGAATCGAACAAACAGTAAGACGCAGGGCCTTCCTCTCCAGAAGTGACATCACAGGTTGATGCAAAGGATCTGTGTAAACCAGTCTTAATACATCAAGATCCAGCGGATCATCTTGAGGTTAGACACCCCAGCACAGCAGTACATCAACTGGGAATTCCAAGACACCGGGGCCAAGCTACCTGTGGGTCACTCTGCTCCTTTATGGATATATGAACGCCACCCGCCTGAGAATGCCGGCAGCGGTGCAGGTAATAATTTGTTTGTGGATGAAAGAAGTACGCCAAGAGCCCCGATTTTGCCAGAGGTTGGGACTCCAGGGATCCTGGAGGCTTTTTGCCTTCCTCTGGGCATAGAGCAGGGGTCACTGAGGTAGTTGGGGGGGGGGAGGCAGCTGTGAATTCCCTGCATTGTGCAAAGAGTTGGACTAGATGACCCTTTGGGTACCTTCCAGCTCTTACGTTTCTTTTGACACCCCATTCTCCACCTGAAAACATGTACAGATTGGAGGCCGAAGTGAATTCAGAATAATCATCCTATGATCGTACTAAGTCCCTCAGTAGTATGAACACCAGGTGTGAATTCAACAAACTGAAGAATGCTACTGTACAGATGGCAGCGGCTTCACTGGTTTATTTCACTGAGGCATCATCTTCTGGCAAGGGCAGGCGAGGGGGCTGTTTACCCTGATCAGGAGAAAACCCCAAACCACTGCTAGTGAGAGAAGCTCTGCTATCTGTTGCCTGTAACATTTTTATCCTCTGCTTTCTCCCATAAGGGCACACATGGTTTTGTTCCTCATTTCAAAGACGAGATAGGCCAAGCTGAAAAAGAACCAGTGACCCAAGACCAGCTTCCTGGCTAGAAGGATGTGGACCCCTGTCCCCAACCCTGGTGTGACACTCTAGACACCACATCACACTGGTACAGAACTCCAGAAGTCTACGAACAGGAAAAACTTGCTCTGGCAGCTCAACTTAAACAAGCAGAAATGGGGGCCTCTCTAGGGTAAACTTATTCAACAAGGATGACAAACGCTTGTACTTTTTATTATGTACCTACATAGAACACTACCAAATATATCATGAAAAATCTTCACATTTTAACAAATCACATGATGAAGTCTTGAGAGGTCTGTTTCCTCCCTTTTAGGGGTGCCAGATTTAATACAAGAAAAAATACATTATTGTCATGCTTATTAAAAACATTTCTCTTGCATAGGACTCTCTAGGCAATTTTAGGAAAATCAAAATCCTAAAGATGCAGTACTAAAAGGCAGTGAGCAAAGCCTACCGCAAGCAACCAACAGAAGCTATTGACCAACCAGCCACACATGCCCCATGACCAAGTCTATTCAGATGTTCTTATTGGCTACTAGCCATGATGACTAAATGGAATGTCCACATTCAGAGGCA